CTTCTTCGGATGCAAGTGGGCTGTAGTCCACAAAAGCTTATGCTCTAATAAATTTGTTAGTCTCTAAGGTGCCACAAGTACTCCTGTTCTTTTTGCGGATACAGACTAACACGGCTGCTACTCTGAAACCTGTCCTCAGGATGTTCTCCCAAGCTTCTACTTGACTGTGTTTGGTGAAGGAGCTTCTCCCACAGCAGCTGCTTCCCGTCCACCCTTCTGTGGCTCTGTTAGAACAATGCCTCGTTGGATATCTCTTTTCTTAACATCCTGCCTTCCAGTCAGGTCTTGTTAAAGTGGCTACATTTTGGACTGTTTGTCTGCATAATTTTGGAGTGTGGGTCAGACACTCAGGCACTAAGTTCTGCTTGCGAGATTTAGGTGCCTCTTCTAGGCACTTCCATGCAGTGACACTTTAGTGTTCTGGAACCAATTTTTTTTCTAGTCCAACCTTCTATACTTTTCTCGGCACTAGGCTCTTGTTCCGATGGTCTTGCTGCATTGATGCTTGTGTTTAGCTAGTCTCATGTTTCTTTTTGCTGCTTCATCATTTTCTTGGCTTTACCAGTATGGCATCCAAGGAGGAAGTTCGGTGACTTCAAACCGATCAGCATGACAGAAAAATGGCATAGATCAAATACTATCTTCATTGCATGATCTGCCTCTGAGTCAACCACTAGGTGCTGTGCACACCTCAAATGTCACTGCCAGGACTGAAGAAACATGAGGTGTGCCTCTCTGTCACCTAGGGAGACTCCTTCTTGGGCTGTACAAATCAGCCTGTAGTGCTTTGAATGAGTCAGACGAGACTGTGGAGCATCAGGGCTAAGACAGCACCCCCGACACTGGCCCAGACCCATCCCCCACTGTGGTAAGACCAAGTAGGGGGGCTTCACAATGGAAGCATCCCATTCCTTTTCCAGCCAGATCCCTGACTCCCAGAAATGCTGTAGCAGACTTTCTCCTTTTTCTTTCATGTGCTCGAGAGGGAGATGATGATTCTGGCAGTCAGCACTTGCTTAATGGCCTTATAGAAGATCAGATGCAGTTGTGTGAAGCTACCTCACAGCTGATTCTGTGGGATTTGGGGCATTTCTCTTGTCCTGAATCAGCAGGTGTAAGAGTGTTCTGTGTGGCAGTGCCACCTTCTGCCCTGAAACCAACACTTGCTCCCTAGGAATTGATGCTGTCAGCGCAAGCTCTGGCCTCAACACTGCCATCTTTTAATCCTCTTTCAGATACATAGATTTTTAAAAAGTCCTGTTTCAATTATATGAACGGGTCTGTTTACACGTGGTGGGGTTTTTTGTTTGTTTTGTTTTGGGGTAGGTTTGTGGGGGGGTTTTGGTGGGGGAGAGGGGAATGCCCCTTTTGCTTCTTACTCTCCAGAAGTGAAAATGCAGCACAGATAGTATCTTCGGAGAAGGGGAAATTCTTGCTTTGCAATTCTGTTTCTCAGCAGAGATCATCTTCCAGGGTTCTCAGTCCCACACATCTCCCCTTTACTAGAGTTTGGAGTTTACGTTTTTGAGAGGGGTTTTTTTTTTAGGGTGTTTTATTTTATTTTTTTTTTTGGTTATGTTGATCTTGAACTGCCTCATTCTTTTGGAACCCTCCTGTCCTGTGCAAAGGAACTAACCGCAATATTCAGGGGGAGCATTTATACTTGGCAGGCATGGCTCAGGTTGGCCAGTAGCTACTCATCAGAGCTAAGGGAGTTGTGTCACTCTCAATCTAAGTAGATGAGGCCCAGGAGTGAAAATCCTGCACACATGATATCTCAGGAATAGCAGAAGGTGAAGGTAAGTCATTTTTCTTTCACAGTATTATGCATTTTAAAACTGTGAAACAATATGACATTTGAATGTCAATTGCAATGTTAATTAGTGAGTTGGTAATAAAGACAGGTAGTCTGGGCGCAGCTGGATTTCTGTGTACTACTGACTCCATTTCAAAAATGTACAGAATGCCTCGCTGTGCTTCTGCATGGTGCAGCGTCACTGTGCACTCTCCTTTTCTGTGGGCTGTGACTAAGACGCATACTTGAGCTCTTACAAATAGGCAAAGCAAAATCATTCATCTCTGCCCCTGTCCCCTATAGCTTTTGTTTTATTTTATAAAACGGGACTGGATTCCACCTACAACCTGTCCTAGACTTTGCAAATCAGACTACTCCTGGTCAATCGCCATCTATGATTTAATGTCTCAAAACTGGGCTCTCGTCATTTAGGGTGAGTGCAGGTTTCCCATTTTTCACTGAAGAATATAAGAATGGCCATACTGGGTCAGACCAATGGTCCATCTAGCCCAGTATCCTGTCTTCTGACAGTGGCCAATGCCAGGTGCTTTGGAGGGAATGAAAAGAGCAGGCAATCATCAAGTGATCCATCCCATTATCCATTCCCAGCCTCTAGCAGTCAGAGGCTAGAGATAACCAGAGCATGGGGTTGCATCCCTGACCATCTGGATTAATAGACATTAATGGACCTATCCTCCGTGAACTTATCTGATTCTTTTTTGAACCCCATTATAGTTTGGCCTTTACTACATCCCCTGGCAATGAGTTCCACAGGTTAACAGTATGTTGGGTGAAGAAGCAGGCATGCTGGAACAATTTGTATAGTGGAGGTGAAGAGAACCATTGAACCAAACTGTAAACCCTGTATATGATGGAAACAACATTAAGCCAGGCGGCGGGGTGGCACCCTTAGTTGCAGCACCTATGTGAAGAAGTACTGCCTTTTGTTTGTTTTAAACCTGCTGCCAATCTCTACTCTCAAAACTCTAACTTTTTTATTTGTCTGGCTGAAGAAAATTCTCTGGAGCCAATAAGTGCTGCTGGAGGTGTGTTTTCAGAGTGACTGAAACATTTCCATTATCCAAGGGCTGAACAGGTGGCCTTCATAGTACTCCTGTCAGTTCCACAAAGGAAAACAAAAGTTTGAATTCAGGAGTGTGTCCTGCTTATTGTTCTACAGTAGCAGTGGTAGCCTTTGTCTACCCTCAAATTTGCACTGATTTGTTATCTGTCTATCTGTACTGGGCTAGCTTGATTATCACTTCAAAAGTTTTTTTTCTCTTAATTAATTGGCCTCTCAGAGGTGGTAAGACAACTCCCACCTGTTTATGCTCTCTGTATGTGTGTATATATATCTCCTCAATATATGTTCCATTCTATATGCATCCGAAGAAGTGGGCTGTAGTCCACGAAAGCTTATGCTCTAATAAATTTGTTAGTCTCTAAGGTGCCACAAGTACTCCTATTCTTCTTTTTGCGGATACAGACTAACACGGCTGCTACTCTGAAACCTTGCACTGATTTAGTTCAACTGGTTCAAACCCTGAGTAGACATTCTTATTTCAGTTTGAGTGGTTTGTTTCAGTTTGTTCTTATTTTATTTAAGTTTAATCAAAATAAGCATAGCTTAAACCTGGTTTAAACCAAAATAAGAACATCAACATGGCCTTTTTCTTTGTTTATGTTTTTTTGCAGCACTGGCTTAAATCACACATTGAGTTTAAACTGGCACAACACTGAATATAGACAAGCTTGTAGATTGTCCCAGAAATACCCCTCCTGAATATTCTACACTATTTTCATTGTTAGATATGTGAATAAGGTCTCCCCACGTGCACAAGCTCCATGGTATAAACTTCTAGGCTCAGTATGGAAGGAAGACAATTTGAATGTTCTATAGAAAGATTACTTTGTCAAAAACCTGC